TTTCTTATCATTCTTGTGTTCACCTGAGTAGCGCTTTTAATTTACTTTAGGAACTTTTCTTTTGTGATCACAACATGACTAACTGATGCTAGAAGCCAAGTGTTCGGCCTATTCAGCCTTTGCCATTCCTTATTCATTAAGCTTAACCAGTTCTAGTTTTTGATTTATAGTAAAGGGACCTGTGACTTTTCTTTTCACATGAAAATGCAGAAGCCATTATAGGGTTATTAATTGGCCTAATTTCAATATTGTTGAATCTCAGGGACTAGGGAGGCCAAGAAGATGAAGAGAAATGGAGAAATGGCCTGTTGGTGTTTGCTGTCTTATATGGGCACGGTTCATGGTACTCCAATTATAATAGTAACATTACAAATCACAATAGCAGATATAATTAGAAAAAGTTTTAAATATACTGAGAATTACTAAAATATGACAGAGACAGGAAGTGAGCACATGCTACTGGGAAATTGGTGGAAATAGACTTGTTTGAGGCAGGGTTGACACAAACTTTCAATTTTCAAAAAAATACAATATTTGTGAAGAGCAATAAAGTGTACACAATAAAATGAGGTATGCTTATATCATGATAGCCACAAAGTCTCTGAGCATGACTTTTCTTCCCTAACCACTATCAGCTTTTTGAGGTCATAAATCATTTCTGATAATCTTTCTATGCACTGCGAGTACAGAGTGGGCCCAGCAAAAAAATCTTATTAAATGAATGCTGCCCGAACTGGATAAAAGTAATTAAATGTTAAGAAATGACACTAAGTCAAGAAAGAAGATATCTCTGTGCATTCATCTCTGTGAATATTTCTTTATTCAAGAAATATTAGAAATAAAAATAGTTTAAATATATACATTTTATAAAGTAAATCAATACCACTATATCATAAAGAGCTATAATACTGTCTTTCATGATGCAAATACAATAGTTAAATTTGTAAGACATTTTTCAATGGCAAAATGAAGTTTGGAGGCTAGATTATCATCTCTGAGAAAATTCAGCCGTTAGTATTGTCAGGGGTTGAGGAACCAGATGTCAGGTCCCTGTGTTTCCTGGTTCTTGCTTCCCAGTACCAAATAATGGTTCCTGGTACAAAGTTGATGGAATGAATGAACAGAGCTAGCAGGTGTAATCAGGCAAAGTGCCAAAGTTTTATTAAAGATTAAAGCAAATTACATTCAAAGAAGAAATGGGTCAGCCCCCATTAGTGGAGGAGACATTGAGTTTAATAATAATTTTCCTTTTATGTTGACTACCTAATTTTATGATAAGCGGGGTGTGTGTGTGAAATATTCATGGTTATTCTTTAAAATAAAAGGGGAGAATTCTTAGAATTAGGAATCCTCCCCCTTTCTATCCTTCTAAGGCAATTTCTGGGGTTGCCATAGTATTTGTAAACTGCTGTGGTGCTGGCCGGTGTGATTTTTACTATGTTAATGAGGGTAGTCCGTTTAGGGACACTGTTACCTCAACTGTACACCTGCTCCAAAGACCCTCTATTGAGGCCTTTACAATATCTCTACTTTGTGGTTTCTCTACCTCTTTCTGGTCCTTGAAGACCCACTATTGTAGACCAAACATCTGGGCAGTCCTTAGGGGCCCCCTTGACATGCCATCTTTTCTTTCCTATGAGCTGCCTCCCTAGAGTCCCACTCAGGCTATTGCCCAAACAACGCAAGTCAGTATGACTACATTGGTCTGTTCTTGTCAGAAAGTCACTAGGATGTTGATTACCCTCTATCTCAAGGCAACCCACCTACAAGATCCCACACTTGCAGGGTCTCTGAATTAGCTCCATTCCTGTGACAGTTCAGCATGACACTCCAGTCCAGCCTAACTCAAGCCAGTTCAAAATATCATCCACCATCTACCCTGCTTATGTCTACCTAACTGCCTAATGTAACATTATCATGTTTTTATTTTTAATCTCCAATAGTGGTCTCAGACATCTTATCTTTATCAACATTTTATCCTTACCACAGTACTCCTTACCGATTTTCTCAATTTATCATCTGTTCTCATGCTAAACCAAGCACAAAGTCATTTAGCTTAAAAGCTTACATTTGACTGTGAATTGGGATTCCTCTTTCTATAACTAAGGTTCCATTTACATATGATGTTGGCAACAATCATAAACCCATGATAACTGGCAGCCAGCAGGGTAGGAAACTGAATTTTCTAATTAATTGATTGCGTTACATCCAATACTGGTTATGGAAATGTGCACTGTTGGATTTATGCTTGTTGTACTTGTATATATGCTTGTTGCTTAGTATATATGAGAATTACAAAGTTTGTTACCCATTAGCTATTTCCCGGTTGTGGCAAAGTAGTTAAAGAAACTCATTTAGTCATTGATAGAATTATATGTCATCATAGATATCCTATAATCCAATGCCTTTCTTCAAGTTCCAAAACTGCTATAGTTAGGCCTATGAGGTTACAGGGTTAAAGTGAAAATACACGAGAATTTAGTCAACTTTTACTCTCATTTTTAGCCAAAATATCGACACCTTCATTTTTAAAAAAAATTTCTTATTAGGCATTCATGTTAATTTTTTAAATAAAGAATGTGTTCTGTGTGTTTTAAAAAATGAAACGTCATCTAGTCTATTTTAGGTTGGCAAATACACAGAATGTTTATTATCAATTCCATTGCATGCATGCTGAAAAAAAATCGTATTAAATAAGGTCACCTTTTCCCCACCATTTATGGACAAAAATCCTGTGAAAGTTTCTTACATTAGTCACAGAAACTACTATCAAGCAATTACACATGATGTGATGAACATATTTTACAGTTTCCATCACTTCATTTCTTTTCTTTTAACAACACATGGCACAATAATGCTTGCACTTTTCACTAGAGAATAAGGGCCAAAATGGTAATGACTGTGACTAAATAACAACATGGCATAATCTTCATTGATGAAGTTGGAAGTAGTCATAGATATTATCCCAGTGGTTTTCTTCAAGTTCTAAAGGCACTGTAGCTATTCCTGTCAGGTTAGGGAAACGTTATGAAAGTTTCACAGGTTCCCTAACTCCAGAATGAGAACCAATGTATCTTTTGAGATGGCCCTTGTTATTTTCCTAAATACATATATTTTTCATGGTTGGAGGAAAAAAAAGTTTATAAAATTAAATGATAAAGAACCTAATGATAAAATATAATATTCTCTTAGGTTTGATTTCTTCAAAAGGAGACCTTGAGAAAAGTATTTGAGTGCAAATACTTATTTCAGAGGTGACCCCAGGAAGCACAGTAAAGAATTGGGTGAGTCTGAGAAGAGAATGAAATCAATATGGTATGAGTTGATGACCATGTTGTCACTTGATCAACAGAGGCTCAATACCATTTCAGAATGCTAGAAGACGGATTTGTCTCACCCAAGAGTCATAAATGTTGAGATATTTTACATAACCTCCCATGTGTAACATGTAAAGACTTATTCCCATAAAAATTAATTAATTTATTATTAACTATCACAATACTATTAGAATGAGCCTTAAAGCATACAGATTCTTGTGAACTCCATGGTAGATTCCATTTTATATTAGAAATAAATATTGGATTTTAAAAAAAGTATTTAACTCTTCTTCAATCAATTAAATATATTAGCAGATCCATCTGCTTGGAAAACCTTTCTACCTGGATCCACTACTGATGTGTCCCATATTGGTTGATGCCTTCATGCTGGCTGAAGCAGTGATATAGGTCATTCTTCTAATACAATCCATTCTTACACTTTTCCTACATACTCTAGACCAGTATTTATTTTCCATCTAAGCTATAGTAAAGATTTTAAAGGTCTTCAATTGATTTATTCGATAACAGAAATGAATATATGGCATTATTGTCTGAAAAATGGAAAAGGAAAATAATCACATTTTCCTCTAATATACCATTACAGGGTATGATTTTATCCCTACTACTCAATATAATTCTACCTTCCTCCTTCCTTTCCCTTTTACTCCATGCTTTGTTATACTCAAGGTCAACATGTTTATTTTTAAACTATGTAACATTTGTCATCATATTTATAATGTTTGTAAATGTAGTCACAATTTTTAATTTTGTTAGATAATATAATACAACTTATCATCTGTCTTGGCTAATATAATCCCACCAATGATTGTCTCCTTCCCTAGTAAATTAATACCATAATGCACTCATTTGAATTCTGTCAGCTTCAATGTGTTTTTTATGCACACTGCATTGTAGTCCACTATATATGAAAAAGACTGTATATAATGTCAATAAAAATGAATCGAAGTGCTATCAAAAGCACAAAGTAAATAAATACATATAGCTCTTAGCATGTGGCTTTATGCCACAGAGAACTGTGATTGTAAAGAATGGATACATTTCAAAATTAGTTGCTATATACTTATGCAAAGAAGATTTAGCAGATTATAAAATAATTAAGTGTTCACTTCTTTATTAATTTCCTAATATCACAAAGCTGTGCATTAGAAGAAGTGGGTGCTAACATCCCATATCAATTGCTATGTCCCTGAATTCTTACTGTGCAGCGTCAGGATACCAGTGAGCTGAAAGACTTTTCAGAGTGGACCTGAAGTTTAGGCTCTAAACCGATCACTTATTTGCTGTACTTTCTTATTGCCGGCACTGTACAACCCTACTCACCCACCTCAAACCCTTCAGAATACAGTTCTAATTTTTAGCTGAAACCTCCAGATAGAAATGAAACTGGATACTTATTTTTAGGTATACTTTATAATGGCCATGATGTACAACATGATTGGGTGATGAGTGAATGCTGTCATTTTCTTTTAGTGATGATAAGAAGAAAAAAAAAAGAGACACATAACATTTTTACTTTACGTTACTTTACAAATATGCAGAGTTTGTGCACTTCATAAAATTAACTATCAATTTATTCTTCTATGATTTTACTTGATAATGCTAGTATTGTATTTGTATTGTTTTAACAGTGAATAATTTGATACCTTAAGACCTCAGGATGTTGCTTGCTTTGGCAAAACATATACTAAAACTGTAACATACAGAGAAGATTAGCATGGCCTCTGCAGAAGGATGACACGTAAATCCATGATGCACTCCATATTTTTAAAAGACTGAACTTGGACACACACATTTCACCACTCACAAAAATTGATTCAAGATGGATAAAAGGGGCTGGGAGCGGTGGCTCACGCCTGTAATCCTAACATTCTGGGAGGCCACGGTGGGTGGATTACCTGAGCTCATGGGTTTGAAGCCAGCCTGAGCGAGAACAAGACCCCATATCTAAAAATAGCCAGGCATTGTGGCAGGAGACTGATACAAAAGAATCTCTTGAGCCCAGGAGTTTGAGGTTGCTGTGAGCAGAGATGATACAGAACTCTACAGAGGGCAACAAGTAAGATTCTGTTTCAGAAAAAAAAAGATGGATAAAAATTTAAATCTAAGGCATGAAAAAATAAAAATCCTCAAAGACAGTGTGGGAAAAATACTTGAGGATATCAGCCTGGGGAAAGGTTTTATGAAGAGGACTTCAGTGGCAATTGCCATAACAACAAAAATAAATAAATGGGACTTAATTAAATGTGAAAGCTTTTACACAGCTAAGGAGACACGACCAAAGTAAATAGACAACCTTCAGAATGGGAAAAGATATTTGCATATTATGAATCTGACAACAGCTTGATAACTAGGATATACAGAGAACTCAAATTAATCAATAAACAAAGAGCCAACCATCCCATATATCACTGGGCAAGAGATATGAAAACTACCTTCTCTAAGGAAGACAGACAAATGACTAACAAACATATGAAAAAATGCTCATCATCCCCAATCGTCAGAGAAATGCAAATCAAAACTACCCTGAGATATGACCTAACCCCAGTAAGATCACCTCACGTCACAAAGTCCAAAAGCTGCAGATACTAGTGCAGATGTGAAGAGAAGGGGACACGTTTACACTATTAGAGGGATTGCAAACTAATACAGCCTCTTTGGAAATAAGTATGGAGTATCCTCAAAGATCTCAAATTAGATCTTCCATTTGAACCCACAATCCCACTACTAGACATCTACCCAGAAGAAAAAAATCATTTTATCATAAGAACATTTGCAATAGACTGTTTATTGCAGCTCAATTTACAATTGCCAAGGCATGGAAACAACATAAATGCCCATCAACTCAGGCATAGATTAATAAATTGTGGTACATGCACATTATGGAATACTCTTCAGCCATGAAAGGTGGTGATTTCACACCTTTTGTAATATTCCAGATAGAGTTGAAACACATTCTTCTTAGTAAAGTATCACAAGAATGGAAAAGCAATTATCCAAAGTACTCAATACTGATATGAAACCAGTAGATGATCTTATGCATGCCCACATAGGAAAAAAAACGCATTTCAATTCAAGTTGGGGGGAGAGGTGATGAAGGGGGAGGGGAGGGGTTGGTGTGCTCTCACTGAATGAGCACGGGGTGGGGGTGCCTGACATATCTTTTGTGTGCCGGTCATAATTACAAGAGGGACTCTACCTTACAAAAATCAAATATTTTGACCTGGTTTGTATCTTCACATTAATCTGAAATAAATATACTTTTTTTTTGGGGGGGGAAGACCTGGGGGAGGAAATGTGTGGATCACAAAGAGAATAAAACTTTAAAGTACTCTGTATAGCTTAACTATCATATTATCATAACTAAACATCCCAACCTTTAATAGGATGAAATAGACCAAAGTGGCAATTTGTCTCATACAACTCATTTCCCTCAATTGAATAATGAGGAATCTTGAAAATAGCACTGTTTGTGTAGTATGGTTAGTTATGCTGTATGGTAGAAAGATGCAGTGGAAATGATACTACGATAGGATTCCAAATTTGTCTTCCTAACTATGGCTGTATAACTCATTATAACTTTAAGTAAAATTTGAATCACTTTCCAGAGGTGCTAGGCAAGAGGCAAAGAATCAATAGGGAAATCATGGTCCTCAGTTGCCAATAGTCTATAAATAAACAGATAACTTGAAAAATGAAGCACAGCACAATAAACTGTTGATACAAATATAAGAAGGATGCTATAGTTGTATAGACAGAGGTACATAACTCAGTCAAAGGTGAAGAAGAGTCACTAACTATGTTGTTTTGGAGGATTATAAGACACAGAACAAGAGGGTGGTGCCTGTAGCTCAAGTGGCTAAGGCACCAGCCACATACACCACAGCTAGCAGGTTCCAATCTGGCCCGGGTCTGCCAAACAATGACAAATACAACCAAAAAATAGCCGGGTGTTGTGGGCCTGTTGTCCCAGCTACTCGGGAGGCTGAGGCAAGGAATCACTTAAGCCAAGGAGTTTGAGGTTGCTGTGAGCTGTGATGCCACAGCACTCTACCCAGGGCTATAGTTTGAGACTCTGTCCCAAAAATAAATAAATAAATAAAACATGAAACAAGAGAATATGTGAAAGTGAGAATTATTTAAGAGTGTGGGGTAGAGTCAACATTTCCAAAGGCACATGACAAGGAAGTGTGTTACAGGTAGAGAACTGCGTGGCAAGGGTGAGGTGCTCATATGATGGATGAAAGACTAGACTTGAGAACAGATCAGGGAAAATGTTGTAAAGGACCTTTTCTTCCATACAAGCTGTTTGAATTACAACCTATAAATAATGGGGATCCACTCGTGCATTTCAAATAGAGGAGTAACATATTAATTTTTACCTTTGAGATGAGCTTAGGAGCCACGTGAAGGGTAAACTGGAGGGAAGCAAGACCACGGGTAAGTTAAGAAGCTATCACTGTAGGCAAAGTAAAATACGATGATCTGAGGTGGTGACTGGCAAGAGACATGGAGAGGAGATGACAGAACTAAAAGAAAGTTAGGACCCAAAAGGCAGAAAATAGCTACATGAGTCTATGTAAAGAGGAAATAATACTTCCTACCTTGCTTACTTCTCATGGGCGTTATGTGAATAAAGTAAACTTGAAAGTATTTTGTTAATTATGAAGTTCTAGCCATTAAAGGAAGTAGTATTATGAAATGCCTGTGAATTAAAGATCCCTTTGATTTAATGTCATTCCTATTTGCTTACACACAGTCCAAAAACTATGAAAATATGCTTTACTTACTCCTTAAGAGAAAAGTAAAATGCTAGGTAACTCGTGTGTGTTCAGATTTCTGGATGGAGGCACTAATGGATAGCTACTCTATGTGAAGAGGTAGGAAAGTACGGCAGGGGACTCGCTCTGGCTAAGAACTGGAAACTGGCAGCACACTGGTTCCCACGCATCTGTGGAAAGCTTTCTTCATGAACAGGGAGGATCAAGAAATATTTAGAACTAAAATAGAGGTGAGAAATAATCAATCCTTAATAGATTGCTGAACAGAATTGAAATCAAATACTCTTATACAAGGTTTGACCTCTAAATATAAGAAAAAAATGCAGCTACAATCTCGTCTCTGGATATGAACTTATCTAAACAGTATTTAGCTTGTACATTAATAATTAGAGTTTATTATGGAAAGTTCCGTTTAGCCAATAAAACGAATAATATCAAAGCCAACACAATGACTCCTGTAATTACCATTTTGATTATTGAAGGACATCGGAACAAAGGGGAATCCCTATAATCTATGGCAGAAGCACTGAAGACACTGTTTTCCAACTTTTTTTTTTAACCTACAGCACACTTGAATCTATAGGTAAAATTTCCACAGCACACTTACTTGAATTATGTTGATCAAAAAAAATATATATATACTTACTGTGCTTTGATCGTCTTTCAAAAATAACTTAATCAATGATCTTTAAAAACTTTTCCAGCACACCTAAGATCCTCTCACAGCACACCGATTGAAAAATACTGACCAAAGGCAGGTAATGACCCAAACCTATGTCACTAAATCTGTTTCCTTCCAAGAAGGTAGAAAGGTAAGTAGATCTTAGAAAGAGTGTGATGTTTAGAATTGGATAAAGCTGGTTCTGATTCCAATCATCCCACCAGTAGCTTAAACTCATTAAGTCTCAGTTTTCAGGTATATAAAATAGGAACAATAAAAACATATACTGGGGATTGTTCTAAGTACTAGCTAAAAGAATGCATAAAAAATACTTAGTATTGTACCTCTTAGTTGTGAAAAAAAATCAGTAAATAGTGGGCATTATTAATGGATTGGTAATTCTGTTCTGCAATGTAAACTTTCTCTCATTTGAAGAAGGAAATATTATAAAATTGATGGTCTTCTTAATCTAATGTAGCAAAACAGAAATTTCTTGAATCAGAACCAAATTTGGAATGGGAACATAGAAATAACAAGAATAAATGTGAGAAGAAACTGAATAAAATATTAAAGCTGTGGTAGAGAAAAAATAAAATCTTATGCCAAAAAGAAAATCCAGCTTTAAATGGTGCATGGCCATTCTCCACAACAGTTGGTTAGTCGGGGAAATTTTTGTTCATAGAATCTATGTGTTTAATCTTGCACCACTCTAAATTTGCCATTATAATTACTAAGTTATACATTTCTTGGCCTTCCCAGAAAGACAAGGAAGAGACTAAAGAGTCCACATGGCTTAATAAAAGAAAAAAAAAAAACTTTTGCTTCATTATGGAGACTTGTTATATTTCTTATCTTAAAGGATAAGAGACTTTAAGGAAGTGACATTTTCTCTACAGGTGTCAGTGTCTTTATCTGTCAGGCTAAGAGACGGGACTAAATATTCCTTAAGAGCCCCTTGTTTTGAAATTCTTAGCTTCTATAAAAGGGATCTGTCTGGATGTCTGCAACACATAAAATAAACATAAGACTATAATTATCTAGAAATATGTAAAGAACTCCTACATATGAAAAATAAGATGGCAACTCAATAGAAAAATGAGCACGGAACTAGAACAGGCTCCTGACTAAAAATAATATGCACATGAGTATGTAAATGTATGAAAAGGTTCTCCAACTCATGAGTTATCATGAAAAAAATGGAAATAAAACCCACAATGAGATACTATAGCACAATATCTAGCTAGAAGGGCTAAAATTAAGGGCCGATAATAGTAAGCATGGACAACAATATCTAGACCTTTTACAAAATGATAGCTAAATTTATCTA